ACAGATTCAGGGGTTTGGCCCCTGCATCGCTGCTGGGGGGCTGGTCCCAGCCTGGGCCTTGCCCCAGCCCCCAAAGAGGCTGCCTCTGGTTTCCAGCTGCTGCAGCACCACCTCTACCCCCCTCTCCACAGCAGAGGCAGCAGCTGCCTAGCAGCCCTGGTAGGGAAGGGGGCTCCCAGCTCTACCTGCCCCCCCTGCACGGAGCAGATGCAGGCTTCAAGGCAGCCACTGCATTTCAGGACTCAAACCCCCTGGGACCTGCCTTGGGGCCATCACTTCCGTGCCTGTTCTTCCCCCGCTACAGCCCTCATGGGGCACTGAGCTGTTGCCTCCCACCCCCCTTTCCCCCCAGGGGTAAATCAGGCCCAACCCTAGGATGTGTACAGAGGCTGGAAGGTGGGGGAAGGGTGCAAAGACTCAAGGGGCAAGGAGAGGAAAGCAGCCCCAGCTCTTCTGGGCACTGCAGGGGCAGGGGTCCGCACAGCCCCTACCCCCATGCAGCAGTGCTGAGTCATGCTCCCAGTGGGCACGCGCAAAGGATTTACAGTAGCCCAGCTTTGAACCTGCCTGCAGACTCAGGGGGAGAGGGGCGGGGCATCAGCCACCCCCAGGGAGCCCCAGGGCAGCGCTGTGGGAGCAGGGCCAAGGCCACATTGCTGCTTTTCACCTTGGGCAGAGCAGGGAGGCGGCCACACTGCACGTCCTCAGCTGGCACCTGCAGCCCAGCCAGTGCTGACGGCAGCGCCCATGCATGACTCAGCGCTGCTTGTTCCTGTTGCCTGGCACAGCCGCGCTAGCCTGTCCAGCTGTCATAAGGCCCAGGGCAGCACTGCTCCCCACCCAGAGAAAAGGGAACCCCACCCTCAACCCCTGCAGTGACCAGGCCTAGTTCACGTTTTCCACCACAGTTTTATTGGAAATGTTAAATACTGCGCGGACGATGACGACGACGAGGCTTTGCAGCTGCCAGGTGGGGGGGGAGGGGGGACACAGACAGGCCAAAGTTACGCGTGCTCCTCTGCCAGCTTCTCCGCCTTGGCCACAGCCTCCTCGATGGGCCCCACCATGTAAAAGGCCTGCTCGGGGAGATGGTCGTACTCGCCTGGGGGCAGAAGCAGGATCAGAAAAGAGGGATAGGGGTGGGGGTGCAGCAGCTACCAAGACTCAAAAGCTCCACCGAGGCCCCTGCTCCAAGCCTGGGCAAAGGGGGCTGCAGCAGGCAGCAGCACCCGCCTCACCTGCAAGGATTGCCTTGAAGCCCTTGATCGTCTCCTTCAGCGGTACCAGCTTGCCCAAGTGACCGGTGAAGACCTCGGCCACCTGGAAGGGCTGGGACAGGAAGCGCTGGATCTTGCGGGCCCGCGCCACTGTCAGCTTGTCCTCCTCTGACAGCTCATCCATGCCCAGGATGGCAATGATGTCCTGCAGTGACTTGTAGTCCTGTGGGGATACATGGGGGCTGAAGTCAGGCTGGGAGGGACTCTTGGGGGGGTCTGCTTAGACTGCGGGTTATAGGTTGCTTAATTCAATCTCTGGGGGGGGGGGGGTATGCTATGCCCCCTGCCCATGGGCTGCCCCCTGCCGGTAGCTGTGGGGGCAGGGTGAAAGGGGGCACCCCATAGCCCAGGGATGCTCAGCCCCCTCACCCACCTGGAGAATCTTTTGCACACCACGAGCCACATCATAGTGCTCGTGCCCCACGATGTTGGGGTCCATAATGCGGGATGTGGAGTCCAGCGGGTCCACAGCCGGGTAGATGCCCAGCTCTGCGATGGCACGGGACAGCACGGTTGTGGCATCCAAGTGGGCAAAGGTGGTGGCAGGTGCGGGGTCAGTCAGGTCATCAGCTGGCACGTAGATCGCCTGGGCAACAGGGGGAGGTACATGGCTGAGCGTGGGCAGCCTCCCCAGGGCAGATGCCAGCCAGAGCCCGGCCAAGAGCCCATTACCTGTACAGAGGTGATGGAGCCCTTACGGGTGGTGGTGATTCTTTCCTGCATGGTGCCCATGTCGGTGGCCAGGGTGGGCTGGTAGCCCACAGCTGAGGGGATCCTGCCCAGCAGTGCAGACACCTGCAAAGCGAGAGAGGTGGGCAACTCATGCCTTGGTGCCTGCTCAGCTCCCAGGGAGATGGTGGCAGCAGGACCAGCAGCCTGGGACCCTGTCCCCTACCCCTACCTCAGAGCCAGCCTGTGTGAAGCGGAAGATGTTGTCAATGAAGAGCAGCACATCCTGGCCCTCCTGGTCCCGGAAGTACTCAGCCACAGTCAAGCCGGTCAAAGCCACTCTAGCGCGGGCACCTGGGGGCTCGTTCATCTGGCCGTAGACCAGCGCGACCTGCAGGGCACAGGGGGGGAGGTGGTGAGACCGAGCTCCCTAGAGCTGGGCACCAGCCCCCAGCATAGGGCTAGCACCTGGGGCTGTGTAGGCAGGAAGGATGGCACTGCCCATGAGGCAAACCCAGACGCCCACCTTGGAAGTGGTGTCTTTGAGGTTGATGACGCCAGACTCAATCATCTCGTGGTAGAGGTCATTGCCCTCGCGGGTCCGCTCCCCCACGCCAGCAAACACCGAGTAGCCGCCGTGAGCCTTGGCCACGTTGTTGATCAGTTCCATGATGAGCACGGTCTTGCCCACCCCGGCACCGCCGAACAGGCCTGGAGGGTAGCAGGAGCTCCATGTCAGCTTGATGCTGCCCCTCCAACACCTCCACCCGCCCCGGCTTCTTTTCCTCCTCAGTTTTTCAACAGCGACTTCAGCAGACTCAGAAGAACGAAAGTCAGAAGGATGCTCATCAGGGGAGGAATCGAGCAGGACGTTCCCCCAGGTCTGAAGCCAGAGCCTGGGGTCAAACCCCACAGAACCCTACTGCTGGAGCCAGGCCCAGCCCTACAAAAGCTTCCCCACTCTCCTTCCACCACCACGCTGCCCTGCTCCAGGCATCCAAACGTACCAATTTTACCCCCCTTGGCGTACGGGGCCAGCAGGTCCACAACCTTGATGCCCGTGACCAGGATCTCCTGCTCCACGCTCATCTCCACAAATTCGGGTGCTTCGGCATGGATGGCGGCAGACCTGTGATGGGGGGAGCAGGGAGTGAGGCCACAGCCAGGGTGAGCAGCGCCCAGTGGGACTGCGAGGGTCAGTGCCCCCCTGCACAGCTCAAAGGGACAGAAGCACTTCAACACCCCCCCCCCCAAAGTGTTGGACACCCACCTCTGGGCCCCTACCCAGCTCTTCCAAGCTGCTGTTAAAAGCGAAATATTAGGAGAAGGCCTATGGGCTGCTACATGACGAGCCCCTGGGCTGCCCCAAGCCCACCGCATGCGCCACAGGCCACAAGTCCCAGCCCGGAGCCAGGCTGCACTCACTGCTTGGTGGTGATGGGGCCTCTCTCATCAATGGGCTCTCCGATGACATTCATGATCCTGCCCAGGGTCTCGGGGCCCACAGGGATCCGGATGGGGGTGCCCCATTCCAGCCCCTTCTGGCCCCTCACCAGCCCCTCAGTGCCGTCCATTGCAATGGTGCGAACTGTGTTTTCACCTGGCAGGGAGGAAGCAAGGGGTCAGCAGGACATAGGGGTCAGCACCATGTTGTGTCCCCCCCCCCCCACATAGGGCAGCCCAGGTGAAACTGGACATCAACTTGAGACCCCCAGTTTGAACCCAGACTCCTCATGCAACTGTGGGCAGGTCATGTGGCCTCATCGGGCCTCAGTTTCCCCAGCTGAAGCAAAGCACGTGGCACCAGGCTTGGTACAAGACCAGCAAAGGGCTTACGCAGCCTGCTGGCACGACAGGGATCCCGAGCAAGTCAGGAAGAGGATTCCTGTGCGCGGCTCCGGTGCACCTCCCCAGGCCAGGACCAAGCAAGGCCCCACTCCCCACCGCCCGGGGCCGGCAGCCATTTTAAGCCTCCTTCTCAGATCATCGAAGTGGCTTCAGCAAGCTCAGAAGAACGAAAGTCACAATGATCCATCATCCTGGAAGGAGCTGCCCCCTGCCCTGCGGGGGACACAGGCCCCAGGCCACGCGCGCAGACCCCAGAGCACACGGATGCAGACGCCGCACGACTCCAGGGGACGTGCACACGCAGACCGTGTACACACGCACGCAGGGCACACACGCGCTCACCCAGGTGCTGCGCCACCTCCAGCACTAGCCGGGTGTCCCTGCCCTGCACCTCCAGGGCGTTGAGGATGGGGGGCAGCGCCTCGTCGAACTGCACGTCCACCACGGCGCCAATGACGGCCACGATGCGGCCTGTGCTGACCCCAGGCTTGGCCGCCGGGGACGTCTGTGCTGCATAGTCGCGCCCTGGATGAAGCGATCAAGGGGGACGGGGATAAGAGAGGAGGTCGGTCAAGGTCAGCTGCAGCGGCCGGCCGGCCTGCCCCCTCCCTGTACGCCTCGGGGATCAGGACCCCCCATGGGAGGGGCTTCCAGCCACGGGGGGGGGGGGGGGG